ACATATATAAGTAAAAAAAAAGTTTTGTGATGAAAATATATATTTATTATTTATAAGTATTTCATTCAAATTTATATTTTTTTAATAGAATTATAATCCATTTACATATAGGGATGACGAGTCTCATGGGGCCCAGAAAATTGTAGGGACGAGGAACCCCATTGAATTTATTGACAGGGCAAATTTGCCTCCATCCTCATTGCTTGTGAGGATTCCCAACTTCATGCCGATCAGTATTACAAAATTAATTGAACCATTTTTACTTTATTATTTTCAAATAAAATGTTTTAAAGAGTTGAGTTAATTAGACTTGAATATTGAGCAAAAATTAAAAATGAGCAATTAGACATTAAAGGTCAAAAAATGTGTTGGGTTTGGTTTGGTTTAAAGTAATTAGGCTTTCATATTGAGCAAAAATTAAAAATGAGTAATGTGTATGATCTATAGGGTTTATTTTCTTTCTTTTGATAAATTAAAATTTTAGTTGTTTTGAAATACAAAGAGTTCTCCTTTCCATATATTACACTTAGAGTGCCCCATTTTGTAATCCAAATTGTATTAGATGACAGGTGAGGCTCTCAATATCGGGGAGTCTACCCCCATCCAACGATTATAATTGTGTAATTTGATATTAATCCAAATTGTACAACATTTTTTTCTTACATTTATATAGAATTTTCACTAACATCCACTTGGGATGATAATTACTATTTTTTATTAAAAATGGAGATTGTACTGAAAAGTAGAAAAGAGATTATATCATTTTGTGTGTTGTGTTGTGTGTTGAACCAAAAGGTGTACTAATTAGTGTTCTATCTCTATATATCATGGCACTATAGCCTAAAATTGAAATATAACTTATAGCATTAGTTACAAATTTAAACTATGTTTATGATGAATCTAAACAATTAAGTATAGAGAGTCACCTACAACTAGAAATTAAGAGCAATCACTATATGAGCAAAAACAAAGCTACCTAGGTATGAGGATTATCCTAGTGAGGGGTCAAAGCCTCTAGAAAATCCCATTGAAATTGCTAGATTTTGGAGAGAGTAGATAACCCCACAGGTGACAGTCACCGGCCACTAACTATTGTTCCTTCCCTAAGCCAAACAAACTTTAATCTCCCATCCACTTGTAGCCTATGATATTGCTCACAACCTCAGCCTTTAATCCATTAGCCGCCTTCAAATCCAATCTCCTTTACCACCATTGACTATATATCGTCCCTCAATTGTCCCATAAAACTTGCTAAGGAGGGACTAGACATGCTCAATAGAAAATAGCCTTGCGCAATCGTAGATTTGCCTTAAGTGAAAGAATGAAAAGGGAATAAAAAGGGAATAAAAGGGTGGAGGAGAAAATATGGGGAGAAATATGATCAAGGGAAATGACAAAAGAGGAGAAAGGTAGGTATAAAAAAAAGGCAAAAATATGACATAAGGACCCGAACTTACACCAAATTCGCAATTTCGGACCCAAACTTCGATTGCACTCAATGAAGGTCCCAAACTCCACAAAATTCTCAAATAAGGTCCCAATTGGACGGAAAACTAACTTCCGATCAAATCTTCTATTATTCCGTTAATGTTCCGTCACATTTCACACCCGCCACTTGAAAAAAATTAGTTAAATGCTAATTTTGGTCCCTCAACTTCATTGAGTTTCACTTTTTGGTCCCTAAACTTTATTAAATTTCACTTTTTTGTCTCTCAACTTCATTAAATTTCACTTTTTTATCCCTCAACTTTATTGAATTGTACTTTTTTGGTTCATAAACTATTTTTTGTAATTTTTTGGTTCTTAAAATTTTTACACTTTTTTAATTCCTTAACTTTAATAACTACACAATTTTGATGCTTTCATCAGTTTAAACCATTAACTCTGTCGACTTGGTATTTTTTATATTTTTTTGATGAGATGTATAATCTAATTGAAAAAAATAATAACATAGATCATCTAACTAGAAATAATGATGATATAGATAAATAAAATAATATGTAGATAAATTTTAATATTTTTAATAAAAATAAAAAAACCTCTCCACCTATTTTCTTCCTCCGCTAGAAGAAAGAGAAAGAAAGAGGGGGAAGAAAATAGGTAGAGAGGTTTTTATATTTTTTTATAAAAAATATAAAGATTTATCTACATGTTATTTTATTTATTCATGTTATCATTTTTTTCTAGTTAGATTATATATGTTATCAAAAAAAATATAAAAAATACCAAGTGGACGGAGTTAATGGCTTAAACTGATGAAAGTATCAAAATTATACAGTTATTAAAGTTAAGGGATTAAAAAAGTGTAAAAAATAATTTAAGGACCAAAAAAGTACAAAAAATAGTTTATGAACCAAAAAAGTACAATTCAATAAAGTGAGGGATAAAAAAATGAAATTTAATGAAGTTGAGGGACAAAAAAGTGAAATCTAATAACGTTGAGGGACAAAAAAGTGAAACTCAATGAAGTTGAGGGACCAAAATTAGCATTTAACCAATTTTTTTGGGTGTGAAATGTGACGGAACATTAACGGAATAATAGGAGATTTGACGGAAGTTAGTTTTCCGTCCAATTGGGAACTTATTTGAGAATTTCGTGGAGTTCGGGACCTTCATTGAGCGCAATCAAAGTTTGGGTCCGAAATTGCGAATTTGGTGTAAGTTCGGGTCCTTATGTCATATTTTTGCCTTAAAAAATTTGTTGAAGAGAAGGGGAAAAGAGGTAGAGAGCAGGGATAACTCAAGGGAGGTAAAATGGATGGAGGAGGGAAGGAAGGGAGGATACAACGGCTTCTAGCTTCTGCCGCCATTCTAACATTATATAATTACTGGGATAATTTTTATTGCTTAGTTTTTGATGGTTAGGAGTATTCTTTATAATCTATTAAATAAAAAAAATTGGTAAAATTGATTTGGATTTCAATACTGGACTTGTATTTAAGTTAAAATCAATTGGCAATAAATAGAATAATTTTTCTTATATTTAACTCACATATTTTTTAAATTAACATGTAAATTCATTTAATTAGATAATTAATAAAATTAATATTATTATTTTTTGTTTTTTTATGTAATTTAATTTCTTTAAGGTGTCATGAATACACTTCAATGTGTACACCATAAACACGCTCCAATGCCATACCTATTACCTATTATGGCAATGCTTAAGCTTAATTTGATAGTGCTGGATTGTAATTGTAATTGTAAGTTATTTAGTCTTTTAACATCTTAAAAATATATTTAATATACCTAATATATTTAATATTTGTTTAATTAATATTTATATATTTTTAAAATAATAAAAATACATAAAAACTTAAAAAACAAAATATTAAAAAATATCATCAAATTAAACGAGACCTTAGTCTTACCAGTCATATACTTAGGTTTAATTTGAGAGGCCATCGTTGAGGTTTAATTTTTTGTCCCTTTTGTTAGTCTTAAAAATATATAAGATATTAATCAAAATAAATAAAAATACATAAAATATTAAAATTAATTATTTATAATAAATTTGTTTTTTTAAATAAAATTTTGTGAAAAAAATTACTATGTGCAGCACTCACAAACAAATTGTTAAAATTCTCTGTGAAAGAACCAACCCTTTGGAGTCTAATGGTTTGTCTCCTAGTCTTATTATTTGGATAGAGTTGATAAGGAATTAAAGTCTCACTAACCACTTAAATATTCACACTAGATCTACAAGTTATTGGTGCTTCTCCTAACCCATGGATGGGCCCTTTGCCTTCCCCTTGTAATTGTCCTTTTCCAAAAAAAAAAAAAAAATTTCTCTGTGAAAAACGGTACCACAACTGTTACTTAAGGTGTTATTTAAGTGCCCACCAAAACACATTCCGCGTGTACCTTTTAATGTTGTTGACCTTATTTCAGTTTTCTCCAAGAATCAAACAAACAAGAGAGGAAAGGTTAAGAACCAGATTGTCAATGAGTGGCCTGCACCCTATTAATTTCATTTCATGCGTGCACAATAAGCATTCAACTAGAATATAATTTTCCTTTTATGGTACGAGGATTCCCACTTAATCCAAGGGAGAAAAGCATGGAAATTTTCTAAAGCATTATGTTGTATTCATTCTTTGTATTGGTAAATAATATAAATTTTCTTTTATTGATCAAAAAGAGAGAAATTAATTATGCCTTGATTGAGAATATATAGTACTTAAGATATATACGGAAGTGAATCAAACTCCTACTAATAAATATAATGACATGTATTAATGTTTGATTAATGCTCTAAGGTCTGCAAAGTAGTTAGCAAGCCATTGTTGGATGATCTTGACCTCTGTTGCTCGCTGCTCCACCAACCATTGTGGATCAGTTTCTGATGCTGGAAGTATGTCCAAGCAGTGAGATCCTGTAAAATTAAATCAAATCATCTCTTATTTTTCTGATCTTATACAACTTTCATTTTGAAATTTAATCATGCAAGTAAATCACAAAAACACACATGGACCTTAATGTTGATTAATTTATAATTAAGCATAAATAACCACACATTAATTACCATTTTTCGTTTTAACAGCAACGATACTTTTGGATATGTTCTCCAATACCCTGCAGTTTACACAACCCAGAGACAACATAAACAACATTACAACGGAGAAATTAAAAATGGTCAATTTCTTCTTAATTAGCTAATTTATCATGATAATTAAGAGTTATTTATTTATATATCCAAATTAAATTTTTATTACCCTCCACTACTATAAGGATCTCTAAGCCCGTTCGAGAAGATGATGTTGCTGCCAAATCTCTGAAGAATAAACTTTATGTCCTGCAATTAATTAATTATTCAAGATTAACGTTAATCACATTGAATTTGTGAGACAAAGTAATTAATTAGGAGAAGGGTTAAAACAAATTAATATATTTTACATGGCCTCCGTAATAAGAAGTAATCCAATGAGGCCGAGGAGGAACTCCATATCTACCCTTGCATTCGTTCTCGAAGCTGCTTAAATTAAATGGTGATGGAGGAAACATGGTGTCGTTGCCAATCCCTATAGGAATCACCATCTCACTGCATGTCTACATACACATAAATTTAATTAAGACTAAAATTTTTTTTTAAAGTGTTTTTTAATATGAATTTATTAAAATATTTTTAATAAATTTATTCTTATAATATTTTAATTAATGGCATTTTAATGATTTTAACATTTAAACTATACTTTTGAAAAACATAAATCTCATTTAAAAAATTAATACAATTATTATTATTTTTTTATTATAACTTGCACAATGAAAAGTATTACTTTCACATCCTTAATTCACTTTTTACCTGCATGTTATATGATTTAAATTTAAAATATTTTATTTTTATTAGAAGTTATTTAGTTGATTAGCAAAATATTTAATACAATTAATTGACAAAAAGAAGCGTTGTATCCTATCAATTAAATTAAAGAAAAAAAATTTGATATTGACATATGTTAATCAATTGTTGGACATAAGTCTATATATTTTATAGTGCTTAGTTATTAAACTAACATTTAATATTGGTAATTATTTAAAACGTTCTTGTTGTTGGAAGTTGTAACCAATATGACTGAAAATAAATTGTATATATATATATATGATCAAAATTATATTTTTATGATTTTAGTTATAAACATGTATATAAATATGGAATATATATATACCTGCCATCGCCAGCCAATATCTGTTTCGGATACGTTTCTTGGCGGATTCACATAGCATGTTTGATTCACTCTATAAGCAACCACACCAGCAAATATTTTGTTTAGAATATCATCCTCATTTCCAGAAGAGGAATTAGCAGCTCCGTCAATGCCCCCGCAGATGACAGTAACGGGATATCTTGGAGGCTGATTATATTGAGCCGCTCTGGTATACATACTGTCCAGATAGTCCTTCAGCTCAGCAGCTTCCTCCAACGGTCTGAAATGATAATAACACGCACGTACAGCCCAAAATGGAAAAGAAAATCTCCTTAATTAATTAAGTTTTTGTATAAATACGTTTTTTAGTACAGATTAACTACATGCTTATTAGACTAGCTGAAAAAATAGTCAATTTGAACAGAAAAACATGTTCCTGTCCACTTTTAAAGTTGAGAATATTACTAAAAGAAGGGGAAAGATTGAAAATAAACATACTTGCAAGTTTTGAACTTTCGGCTGAGGTTAGCAAGACCATGAGGCTGTGAAGCAACATCATCAATCACTGACCACGAATTTCTTATTGTTTGGTAACATGTTTCGCTAGCTTCCTTCATATATCCAAAATTAAATTTTATTTATTAGAGAAAATTAATATTGAAAAGGAAATTAATTAAATAGAAAATAAATACTAGTAATCATGAAGGTGTTACATACCTTAAAGTCTTTTGTGACAACGGAATAATATCCACCGGGCGGTATCAGTGTGATATTGTCAAAGTAAAGGATGGGGGCCGATGAGGCCAAAGCTCCAATGGCAATATGAGGGTATTTTAGCCGGAACCACGAAGCAAGCACTGATATATATCAAAATAAAAAAAAAATGTTAAATATAACCAAAAATTTTGATTGAATAAAAGGAAAGCTTATAATTAAAAATCTACTGTTTTGCAATCAGATTGTAAAACACGAGTAATTGAGTGAGAAAAAGAATTCAAACATCAGGAAAATTGCCTCTTATCTAATAATTCATATTTCATAATTTAAAATGATTTAAATTACAAAATAATAACTAAACTAACTATTTTGAAAAATAACAAAAAAAATACTTACTTCCTCCGTATGAGCCTCCTATAACGATGACTGGGGAATGTTGGGCATGCCACTCTTTCTTTATATGTAAGAGGATTTGTGCATAATCTGCTATGGCTTGTGCCGAGCTGAAATATCCACGAGTGCTTGCGTTTTTCATGACTTCTTCTCTTGACCCAAATGGGATTGATTGCCCATAATAACGATGCTGAGCATATATAAAAGAAAAGCAATTATGTTAGAATCTCTCTCCATAGTTAGAATCTCTTAGGCCTTGTTCGGTTATGTAATACCTCTATGAATACTTGGAGAGCCTTAAACCGGGGGGCAGTGTCGTTGAGAAATCCGACGACGGCGAGATCACTGTCAATAGACGATTCAGCTCCAAGATAGGCCAGAATGGGGGCATTTGGTCCACCCCAGTACTGGAAATTCATCACGTATCTTTGTTGAAATTTGGTGTAGCTTTCAGGCCTATAGTTGAAGTGATCCAGCGTCTGGTTGTAGTAAAATGTCTGGAATTCCTCGGAACTCCATGTTTTCAAAATCTCTGGTTGTTCCAGGATGACTCCCCTAGTTGGACTCAGACTCGGTATGTCGATCAAAGTAGCAGCAGCCTGAGAGACGGCCAAAACCACTGTCATACAAAGTATTAGAAGCCATTGAAATATTGAGTGTTTCATCTCTGGTATTTGGTATTTGTCCTTGTGAGCCTTTGAGGGATACATACGCTCATATATATAGTTATCCTGCTTTAAAAAATTAGACTTGGAAATTAATACAGACAACCACCGGCCTCATACATATAATTATTATTCATTAATTTTACAATTTGAAGTATCAATAATTAATTTTTGTTTGGAACACCAATTTGCAGAGAAAATAGATAGAATATTCTATTACATAATATTTTTTTGATCAGCAAATTAAAATAATATATTAATAGGAGTACAAGGGGTACTCCAACCAATTTACATAATAAAAGACTCAACCATCATAATAAGGACATAGCAAAACTGGCAACATTTATAATAAAAACACATCAGCCTAAAGCAATCAAGCCTCCACTGCCTATCATATATGACCCTGTTTCAGCTTCAAATACCTCTTTAGTTCCTTTTTATGCCTCCTCACCTCCAATGCACAAGCAACTGGGTCACCCGTCCATTCATGAAAGGAGAACATGACGCCAGTATGCTTAGATTTAATCCAAGAAAAGGACTTGATTTGAACCATATCCAACAATTTCTCCTTGAAGCTCCCATTATGTTGAAACACAACAGCATTTCTCCAATACCACAAATACCAAGAAACTATTAGAAACATACAAGCACCCATCTCTTTCCCAACCAACCTACCCAAATTAGACCAGAAAAATTCAGCTATGGCTACCACTGAATTTGGTAACAACGATTCCACCCCCCACCAATGTAGTACCTTTGCCCATAGTATCCATACTTCCTTACATGTACAAAATAAATGATTTATTTCCTCCATTGCCTCATTGCAAAAACTGCACATCAAACTTCCTTCTTGCATATCTACCCCTCTTTTGTATAAGTTCCCTTTTGTTGGAAGTCTATCAAGACATAATCGCCACCCAAAAAAAGATACCTTGGATGGCACTAAGTTGCACCAAACCAATCTACAAAGCTGGCCCTACAAAACAGACTCCAAAGGAGCTAAGAACTCATAAGCTTTCTTCACTACATAATTTCCTTCAGAATCATGCACCCATCTCCAACCATCATCCCCACCAATCTTTATTCGAACCTTTCCTAGCAACTTCATTAACAACTCCTCTTCATCCCTCTCCCTGCTCCTTCTCTCCCTTCTCCATGCAATACTCCAACACCATCTATCCCTTTCCCAATCCCCCATCTCACTAACCATACCCTCGCGGTTCGTACTCAATGCATATAATCTAGGACATAAGTCTCGTAGAGGTTTATCTCCCACCCAACTATCCCTCCAGAAGCCCACCCTTCGACCATCATTCACCTCCCACTTGAACCCTTTCACTAGCATATTCCGTAGCCTCTCAGAAATCCCTCCTATATGAATAACGTCCTCCCAAATCTTGGACAGCTGCCAAGTGTCCACTGCAGTGATATCTACCACCTCCTTACCCCCATAGTATTTATCCCTCAACACCTATTTCCATAAATTCGCCCCACCGTCACCAAAGCGAAACCACCACTTTCCTAATAACGCCCAATTTCTCCTACATAAATCCTGCACCCCTAAACCTCCTTTCTCCTTACTACAACAAATAAGATCCCACTTGACCCAAGCAATCTTCCTTTTTAACTCAGGCCCACCCCATAAAAAATTCCTTTGAATAGAAATCAACTCAGAAATCACTGCTTTTGGCATTAAAAGTAAAGACATATAAAAAGTAGGTAAAGCAGAAAGTACCGAATTGAGCAGAGTGAGGCGGCCCCCAAAGGAAAGGACAGCAGACTTCCAGATGGCAAGTTTGGCACGAAACTTTTTCACAACCGTGCTCCACAACTTTTTATTTCTTGGGTTCCCACCAACGGGCAACCCCAAATAGATAAACGGGAATTCCCCCACTCCATAACTAAAAGCTGTAGCTGCCCCTTTCAACCACATCTCCGACACATTTAATCCGTAAACACTGCTTTTTCTGAAATTAATTCGCAACCCGGACATCAATTCAAACCATCGCAAAATAGATTTAACCATAAACACATTTTGACTATCTGCCCTTCCTAAGATCACTGTGTCATCAGCGAATTGGAGCAATGAAACCGCCAACCCTCTTTTCCCAACCTCGATACCATGCAACAACCCTTCCATCTCTGCTTTCTTGACTAAACCACACAATCCTTCTCCAATCAACAAAAAAAGGAAAG